GAGGATGAAACTGAACCATCCTTGTCCCAAGAAGAAACCGCGCGAGGGAAGAAGACGAATTTTGTCTTGGGATTGAGAAATTTGTTCTTGTTCCTTGTCCATTTTGGCTGCAAAACCTGAAATTTAGCATGAATCGAGCACATGAGGAGCTTGGCAAAAACTCTCTGCAGAACAACAAGAGATCAGGAACACACCACACACGACACGAGTGGAGACGATCCAACGTGGCATACGTTTTACCACTTTTAATTATTTTTGGTTTCATACCAATAGTATGATTTTATATTTCACACAAACGAAAAATATCACAAAATTAAAATGACAATTCGACCAAATGAAAGTTATGAAATCTCGTTTATTTTTATCGGATGGATGATTGCCTCAGAATGAATAGAAATCAAAACCCATGATTCTGAGCACAAAGTTCTACTCTCAAAGTAAAAATAAAACAAGCTGAGACCAAAAAAGAGATTGGAAAAGAAACAGAGACCATCGTCCTTGTTTTAACAGCAAACACCATCACTTCCTGCTGAGCTGAATGATATTCTCTCTGGCTTTTCAGACCCAAATGTGAATTTAATACCTAACCTCTCATCATCCTCGTTCATCACCTCACCGCTCACTGAAGGAAAAGCAAAGACCAGAGGCGACTTATCCCTTCTTCTGTTACCGTCGAAACCAAACTGAGGAATCTCGTCATCTTTTGTTGCTTCATGATGATGACTTGTAATGGCAACACCACCAATTGGTGCTGGGCTTGTTGTGAATGGCATGATGGATGGAGTCGTGGGCTCTGATGCTGATGCTCCATCAGATGCAGAGACCGGGAATGTGAAGCTCGCGTTTGAACCCGAAGGGACTGCCCATTTTTGGAAGGGCTTCGCTACTGAGAGTGATGCTAGTGTCGGTTTATGATTTCCCAGTACATGAGATGGCGGTTTGGGGAGATTTGCAGGTTCGCCTCCAAACGAAAAGGGAACAGCTTTTGCAGCATCCTGAGAAGAAGTGACCAACTACACAGTTCAATTTTCCACAATTTCAAAACTCAAAACTCTCAACAAAGATATATATGGTTACCACAAAAATTACCAACTGTTAGAAGTATATCCAGTTTCCGAAGAGATCTACATTGTTTTTAAGTCACAAAAGAAACAAAAATTCATGGAGCTTATTTACATCCTAAGTTAGGGAATATATTGAGGTTCTTCACACTCAAAAGTCCAAACATTAAAACACCAACGAAACCAAAACATCAAAACCCTAAATTCTCATGCAAGCTGCGTTGAGAAAAAGAAGACAGGTACCTTTTCATGTATGCTTCCGGAAAGAGAGTCCTTAGGCTTCCCTAACTCATATTGGAGTGTAGAACCACTACTACTTGTTGCATGTCTTCCACTAAGTATTCCATTTGATGCTGAAGCGGTCTTGGTAATTGCATTTTGAGTGTCCCTGGTGGTAACTGCAGAAAGTTTAGGCACAGATGATGGTGGATTGTGAGAGAAAATGTTCCGG